TCCCACAGTCCAAAGATGTGCAGGCTAGGTGGATTGGCCATGCTAAATTGCCTATGGTGTTCAGGGATGTTTGGGTTAGACATGGGGAATGGGAATGTGTGGGATGCTCTTCGGAGGGGCGGTGTGGACCTGTTGGGCTGAATGGCCTGTTTCCACACTGTAGGGATTCTATGACCCCAATATGTGTGCAGGACCAGAGAGACCTGGGTGTGTATGTGCCTAAGGTCAAAGGTGGCAGGGAATCTTAGAATGTATTTCATATAGCAGAGAGGAATCTGAATTGTATAAACAAAGTACAAGAGCTGGGAGGTGATGGTGAACTTATACAAGACAAGTTAGCCCTCTGGAGAGGGACAGTAAGGACTGCAGGTGTGGAGCTGGGAAAACACAGCAGGTCTGACAGCATCTGAGGAACTTTCAGGCTGAAACCCTGACTGGGGAGAGGGAGGGGAGCCCAGAAATAAATGAGCAGGGGGGTCTAGAGGGAGGGTAAGTGAGATGGAGATAGGTGGATGCAGTTAGGGGGTCAATGTGATTGGTCAATGGGAAGGGTGGAGCAGATAGGTGAGTAGGAACATTGCCAGGTTGTGGGAGGAGATATTTTGAAGCTGGTTAAGTCAACATTCAGGCCATTGGGCTATAAGCTCCCAAGGTGAATATGAGCCCTCAGATACCACCCACAAACCTCCAGATACAATGAATCAGCCTCCAAATCTCCGCCATCTACAATCAGGCCAAAAAGATATTTCTCTCCCCACCCCTGTCTGCTTTCCACAGGGACCATTCACTACATGAGTCCCTCGTCAGCTCCATACTCCCCACCAAACCCTTCACTACACCCAGTACCTTTCCCTGTAACCACAAGAGGTGCAACACCTGACCCTACACCCCACCTCTCACCTCTGTCCAAGGTCCCAATCCTTCCAGATCCGGCAGAGATTCACCTACACATCATCCGACCTTATCTATTGCATCCATTGCTCCCGATGTGGTCCCCTCTATATCGGGGAGACCAAACGCAGACTCGGGGACCAGTTTGCGGAGCATCTGTGCTCTGCACGCAACAACCAACACAACCTTCCGGTTGCCATCCATTTTAATTCCCCTTCCCACTCCCATTCCCCTGACAAAATTTCCATAGGTGGTCTCCACCACTGTGAGAGTGAGGCCAAACATAAACTGGAGGAACAACACCTGATATATTGCCTTGGAAGCTTAGAGCCCAATGGCCTTGACATTGACTTCATAGCTTCAAAATTCTTCCATCCTCAGACTTGTCACATCCAGCTCTCCCCCTCCTGACCTGACCTAACCTAACCATCTTCCCACTCACTGATCTGCTCCACTCTTCCCAGAGACCAATCATAATAATCCCCAACTGCATCCACCTATCGTCATCTCTCCTACCCTCCCCCTAGCCCCTAACCCCCCTCCTCCTATTTATGTCTGGGCTCTCCACCTCCTCCCAGTCCTGATGAAGGGTTTCGGCTTGAAACCTTGACTTTCCTGCTCCTCGGACACTGCCTGACTAGCTGTGCTTTTCCAGCTCCGTGTTTATTGACACTTGTTAGACCTCAGCTGGAGTATTGTGTACAGTGGTGGGTGCCACATTATAGGAAAGGTGTGAATGTACTGGAGACAGTGCAGAAGTGATTTATAGGGATGGTTCCAGGAATGAGAAACTTCAGTGATGAGGAGAGATTGAAGAAGTTGGGAGTGTTCTTTCTGGGAGAGAAGGCAGCTGAGAGGAGTTCTGATAGAGAGTGGGCCTGACCCTGGAGTGAAGTCAACTTGTTTAGTTTGGTAAACAACACGACTGTGTTGTCAAATTCCAAACGAACACAATTTACAAGTTCACCAACACCACCTTAGTGGGATCGATATCTAACAATGATGAGTGAAAATACAGAAGGGAGATAGAGGGCTTGGTGACATGGTGTAATGAAAACAATCTATCTCTCAGGATCGGCGAAACTAAAGAACTGATCATTTACTTTAGAAGGAAAGGAAGAGAACACACCCCTATCTACATCAACGGAACTGAGGTTGAGAGAGTGAAGAACATCAAATTCCTCAGAGTGACAATAACCAACGACCTGTCCTGGACTTCCCACGTAAATGCGACAGTCAAGAAGGTACAACAATGCATCTTCTTCCTCAGGCCACTCAGGAAATTTGGCATGTCCATAAGGTCCCTCAATAACTTCTACCGATGCACCACTGAAAGCGTACTGTCCGGGTGCATAACGGCCTGGTATGGCATCTGCTCTGCCCATGTCCGTAAGAAACTACAGAAGGTGGTGTGCACAGCCCAGACCATCACGGAAGCCAACCTTCCATCTATGGACTCTATTTACAAGGCCCGCTGCCGCGGAGAGGCAGCAACATCATCAAAGACCCATCGCACCCCGGTAATGCTCTCCTACAACCTCTTCCATCAGGCAGAAGATACAGAAGCCTGAACCCACGCACCAGCAGGTTCAGGAACAGCTTCTTCCCAACTGTTATTAGACTGATGAAAGGACTCTCTAACCTCAAATAATGCTGATCTTGTTAAAATTGATCTCGCCTAATGCACGCCCTGTGCAATGCAAGCTGTATGAAAAACAGAACCGGAAGTAACTGCCAACCACCCCAGCAAACCGAAGCATAGAAATGACAAGTGGGACAGAACATCAGCGCTTCACCGGAGGCGCACTGATAGTGTTACCGAGCAGGGTGAAGAAATGTCCTCAACCAAACACACTGGCTCGGCGAGCATGTCTACAACCTCATCCACAACCCGAGCTACAAATCTGCTCAAAACCTGTATGCTTTTGTCTAAGAGACAACAAGGTGTAGAGCTGGATGAACACAGCAGGCCAAGCAGCATCAGAGGAACAGGAAGGCTGATGTTTTGGGCCTAGACCCTTCTTCAGAAGTTTGTCTAAGTTGTTTTGATCTGTTCATCCTTGCTTACTATGATCTGCCTGTACTGCTCGTAAACAAAGCTTTTCCTGTGTTTCAGTACGTGTGACAATAAATCAAGTGTTTTAGAGTTTTGTGATAGTACTCGGTCAGATGCTGGAACAGTCTGAATGTGAAGATCATGTTCATAGATCATAGAATCCCTACAGTGTGGAAACAGGCCCTTTGGCCTAACAAATCCACACCGACTCTGACAGCCTCCCACCCAGACCTATAACCCACCTAATCTGCACATCCCTAGACACTAAAGGCAATTTAGCATGGCCAATCCACCAAGCCTGTACATCTTTGGACTGTGGGAGGAAAGCGGAGCACCTGAAGTAAACCCATACAGACACACGGAAAATGTGCAAACTCCACACAGACAGTCACCCAAGGGTGGGATCGAACCTGGGTCCCTGGTACTGTGAGGCAGCAATGCTAACCACTGAGTCACTGTGCCACCTGTGTTCTTTCTCATTGTATCGGACTACACTGGCTCTGAGTGAGGGATATGAGGCTGGGAGGCAGTCAGTCTCCCTGACATTGTGTTTTTCAATGATCCTGAACATCAGCTCTTCAGGTCACTATTAATGGGAAAGGAGTCACAGCAATAGGAAGCTCATTTCTGACCAGACAGACATCTATCACTCACTAACTTCCGACTATCTTTGGACACAGTGTTTGGGTCAGACAGAGACAGGAGGAAATCCCAAGTAAATTTGAGGGACCTTCACAAAACCTCTGCTATCAGAGGTTACTAACTGACCGATGCAGGGGCACCAGTAACTCAGCTACTTTACCAGTTGTAACTCTGAGGTCCTCTGCTCAGTGCTCCACAGTTATAGTCCCCTGCCTCCTGGACTCCCATGGGGAGCCGACCCACCATTCAGGAGCCTTGATGGGAGGAAAGAAAGCAATCATTTATAGAGAGAGGATTGGGAGCAAAGTGGGGAGTGGGATGGTAGGGGTCAGTGAGTACAGACGATGGAGTGGTGTGTGTGTGCTGTACCTTGGAGTGTAGCTGTGTGTATTTCTCCGTGTGTGTGTTGCTATGTATGGGCTGTCTATGTATGTCAGGCAGAGTGAAGCCCAGAGTGTGTCACACTCAGTCTCTAACATTGTGACCCACAGGAGAATCCTCACCGTGTCACATGGGCAAGGAAACAATGCAGCATCATCAGCCAAACTCTCTTCCAGTCCTGTCACCAGGAGGTGCCTTACCAGCCACTCTATCAGTGGTGTCTCTTCGATGCCTGTGGGTGAGTAAAACATTCACAATAAACAACTGCTCAAATCTCAATGTCTCCAGGTGCTCACAGTTTTGTCTCCACTGATGATGTTACCGAGCATGGTGATAAAACGTCTGAATGAGAACAAGCCAGCGCAGCGAGCAAGTCAACATGTGCCTCCAGAAGCTCCCTCCCACTGGGGTCTCACTGTCACACTGGAACTCCCTCCCACTGGGGTCTCACTGTCCCACTGGGGTCTCACTGTCCCACTGGGGTCTCACTGTCCCACTGGAGCTCCCTTCCACTGGGGTCTCACTGTCCCACTGGGGTCTCACTGTCCCACTGGAGCTCCCTTCCACTGGGGTCTCACTGTCCCACTGGAGCTCCCTCCCACTGGAGTCTCACTGTCCCACTGGGGTCTCACTGTCCCACTGGGGTCTCACTGTCCCACTGGAGCTCCCTTCCACTGGGGTCTCACTGTCCCACTGGGGTCTCACTGTCCCACTGG